CAAGCCCTTTCCCGGAGTCAGGGCCTGAAGATACAAAAACAGAAATGAAAGGCCCTAACCTCAGTGAGCTGCAGTGCTGTTGGATGGGGAGATGCAACGTCCATATATTTGGAGAGGGACAGGGAAAAAATGCATGCATTTCACATACATTCCAAATGTATGTGAAATAAATGCAAGAGGATTTGAGGGGGAGGGCACCAGCAGCTGGGATCAGAAAGGCTTCAGGTGGAAGGAGGCATTTGAGTTGAGTTTTTAAGGTAGCAATGGATTCTGAGAGGCAGAGACGAGGAAGGAGGGCATTCCAGGTATGTGTCACAGCCAGTGCAAAGACTTAGAGATGGGACATGGATGATTGTGTGTGAGGAGCCATAAGAAGACCAGTGTGCCTGGACTGTAGAGTGTTGGAGTCATGTGTAACATTGGTTAAGAGACAGCTTTTGGCTGAAATAAACCACTGAATACTCAATAGCCCTGATTTATGATATTACTGTGGAAAAATCAGTGCAATGAATTTTAATCCCCTTTTGTTAAAGGTGCCTCATGTCCCATGCAGGTCTTCATGAAGGAGAGGTTGAATCTTGAAATAAAATCATCATTGGAGCATAACAGTATCAAAAAGTCTGGTAATCATAGCATAAGTCTTCGGATAATTGCTTTGATTTTTTTTTTTCTCCGTGCCCCTCGTTTGATGACCATTGTTGGCCTCAAGAACACTTCAGGATGCTGAAAACCATTTCTGGGAGATGTGATCATGTTTGTAGAGATGGCCTTTCATCCCTTTGATGAGTCACCAGTGTCCTTCCTTCTAAGGTTGGCAGTGTTGGCTGTGTTGGCATTCTCTTCTGAGGTCCCTACCAGATCTCACAGGATTCTTACTGGATTAGGAGTCAGAGGATGTGCATGCTTGTCCCTCGTGACTGTGGCCAAGTCCCTTCCCCTCTCAGTTTCAACCACTGTAAAATGAGGGAGTTGAACCTCCAGTGACCCTTCTGACTGAATCTCCTGATCTTTCTCATCAGTGAGCACATAGGAAAGATCTGCTTATGTCCAGTGCTGAGGCCAGCGCCTTCTAGGGTGAGTTAAAAAGCCCCAGCCTCTGCCTGGCCCTGCCCTGGCTTCCAGAGGCCCCCTGTACCGCCCCCCCCCCCCCCCCCCCCCCCGTGAAGGGATGTTGCAGAAAGGCTCCAAAGCACCCGGGGACCTGCATGACTTTAAAAATATTTTTTAAAATACAGTTGGTTATCTTTCCCCAGCAGGGATAGATTGCTTTACATTGGAGTTCATAAAAGGTACCACCCAAACTCCATAGTATATATGGCCCTTTGGGTGAGTTGCAGTTCATAACATTAGTTTATATTCTGTCACCGTATTTTCAATTAAACTTAGGTGAATCTGAAGTCGTTAGATTTAGGCTAAATCCACACAGCTGAAGAAACCTGGGCTCTTTTTCTTTCTCATTTCTTTCTCTGAATTTTCACTGAGGGGCTTTTATCTTCCCCTTAATCCCACCATTTCTGTCAGGACATAATCTCTTTCTCAAATTTACATTTTAATTACAAGGCCAGCTGAACTAGGTAAAATCAATAATGTCCGCATTCAGCAGCCTAACTTTCAGCTGAAACCCCAGCCTCTCTATTTCCTCCTATCGATTTATCTCTTGAACACTGTCTGCTTTATTGCTTCAGGCAAATAGGAGCCATTTGGTCAATTTAAACAAAAAAGGGGATTTGGACATTTTTATGATTCTTTCTAAAAGCAACTCTGGGAGTACAGTTGAGCCAAGCCACTGTACTTGTATTTGCCGGGAGGCAAGAAGCAGTTGAAATTCCTTGATTTGGGTGTTTGTAACCATCCCATTTTGTTTCTTGTTTTACCAAGAGCCCATTATTCTTTCTGAAAATGAATGTTCTTGGTGTCTGAGGAATGCTGTCTGCTTTAGGGACTTTTACTTTAAAAGTATGTCAGTGAGATTGATTTTCTACAACAATGTTAAAATGGGAGGCTTTTTTTTTAAACACTGTTAGTATTTACCCTTCTTTAACACGCTTACCCATCTTTTTAATGGCTTGAAACAACAAATCAATGAAAAATATATTTCATTCTTGTAACTCTTAGGAATTCTTGTATTGATCTTTTAGTTGTGATTGTATCTATCTAAATGTCACATTGTTCACTTATCAGTCTTGCCCTTCCTCAGTGGGGGTGAGTGAGGGGGTGTGTGTGCGCGTGTGTGCACGAGCTCTTGTACATGTATGTCATTGTCAATAAGTGGGTTTGCCCCTGAAATTGTGCAAGAAATTGGAAATTTGAGCATTGTTTTGGATGATGCTTTTGGACAGAGATTCTCCCTGTCTATCTTTTGAATCCATACCAAAAAACACATTTTAGAAAGATCATTTCTTTACATTCCTTTTCACATGGTAAGGTGTAGTGCTTAGGGGCTCCTGAGCTCCAGTGATCCTTGTAAGTGTACGTCTCCTCCCCTTGTACCTGTTCCCTCTGAACTGACCCACAATCAGAATAATTATCCTGACTCCTCACTTGAGGAAAAAAAATGTTATAGGGCATTTCATAAGAACAGATTTCGTTATAAGGGATTTTAATAACAGAATTGAGATTTACTAAAAAGATTTCTGAATCATATTGTTTTAATTTAGCTTTCTTTTGATGACTGAGTCTTAGAGGGGGAAAACCTTTGCTAACATAGCTGAGCAACATAAATAACTCTTACCAAAGGGGAAGTAGGGGGAAAAAAGTCTCATTTTTGAAATATCCCCCTGGCTGAACATAGGCATGTCTGCTCTGAGGTGTCTGTTCCTTTGACTGTGAGCCTGATTGCTCTGACATTCTTAGAGGCTGGATTTCTGACTCATTAAGCTTGCTATTTTCCCACTTTTATACTTTTTATGTTGGCAAGATATCTATCTTTAACAGGATTTAGTTGGGGTAAAATGATCATAAAAAATGAGTATTATTTTCTCATTCAGGACTTTAAGAATTGTCTTTCTGTTGCAAGATAATGGTAGGATCTGGGACTGGAAGAGATCTTAAGAGATTATCTGGTATGACTTCCTTATTTTATGGGGCTACAAATTAGGCTCAGAAGTTAAGTGACTTGCTTAACATCATACTGGTTGTAGACTGTAAGAAGCAGAGGGAGGACTGGCACCCAGGCACTCTTTTTAAAAAAATTTTTTAATTTTTAGTCAATTGGGGTTAAGTGACCTCCCCAGGGTCACACCGCTAGTAAGTGTCAAGTGTTTGGTCTGAGGCCGGATTTGAACTCAGGTCCTCCTGATTGCAGGGCCGGTGCTCTATCCACACACCCAGGCACTCTTAATCCAAGCCCAATGCTGTTTCCTGGGATGATGATCATTGTGTTTGTTGGGAAGTTCTTTTCATTTTTAAAAAGTCTAGTTCTAGTTCTAGTTTAAAAAGTTCTGAGTGTTCCCAAAGTCTCATTGGCACTGAAGCAGAACTCAGCTGTCAGTTATCTAGGGGTCCAGGTTTTAAGTGTTGTGAATTATCGAGACTTATCGCATCACCCACTTTGAGGGGGGGGTGTATGCACTTTTTATTACTCCTCTGGCTGTAAGAACATTCACCATAAGAACATCCATAATGTGAGTAAGGGGGCTTGTGGGTCACAACTCAGCTGAGGACAGTGTAGTTTCTGTATAGGATATGGGGCCAAGAAGGGGTGGCTTGGAACCAGCAGGCCTACTTGTGTGATCTTCACCTCCCAGAGCTTATGAGGATGGGCTAGATGAGATGATCACTAGGATTATCAATGTATATGATAGAAGGTAGGTACCTCCCTCTAGGGCTGTTGTGTGAACTACATGGAGTAATGTGTGTAACGTATTTTTGAACGCTTAATGTTCTGTATGTAAATGCAGTGTTATTTTCCTTAAACTGTTAGCTTAACTGGTGGTTTTTGGGATTCAGTGGATTAATTTACCTGAGATCTCTGTTCCCCAAAGTGAGTATCCTTAAGAACTATCAACGTATACGGTCCTCTCTTGTCACCTATCAGTTATTTTTCAGCCCTTCTGGTATCTGCACTGGAGAGGTCAGGGGATGTGGGTCTAGCTGTAAACTAAAAGGTACAGAGAAAGATAGATTTGGGGGTATGAGGCTTAACCAATTACTATGCTGCTGTTTCTTTGTGTGGGCTTTGAGGGGGACAGTCTCAGCCTCTTTTGATATTTCTACTAAAACTCGGGAGATGGAGCATGATGTTTGGGGAAGGTAAGTCTGCTTTATTCCTTCTTTATTATAGTTTAAATCAAGGTATTGCTGAATTATTTTTGTAGACAAGTTAATTTCATTTGGATTTTATCTTATCGGTTTTCCACTGTCTACATATTTAAATTCTTGTCTCAACCTGTATAACAGAATGTTGTAGAACAGAAATGTACCATTTCTTTTTAGTCTGCCTCTGGATTGGGCTAATTTAACAACTTGCTTCAGTGAGTAATCTAAGAGTTGGTCTTGGGGTGGTGGGTCACTTTGATGGTTCTCTTTTGTCCTAGCTTGGCTGTTCAGTTGGAAAGAATCAATTTTCCTTTTCAGAATTAAGTATTTGGGAACTGTGTATTTAGTTAGAGAGCCCCAAGGCCCTTGAGAGGGTGGCTCAAAAAACAGAGTGGATTTAGAATGCTAATCGTTTTGCTCCTTCCTTTTTCAGGAAGAGTAGCAAATAAGGGGAAGTTGTGTTATTCTAAAGGTTATTTAAACTGAGAAACAATGTGATTTAGCAAATGGAGAGTGAGCCTCACAGATCTGGAAGACATCTCTTACTAACTGCCTTACTTTTTGGCTGTGAGACTTTGGCCAGGCCTTAATCCCACTATCCTTTTGTTCCTCTGCTCCTATAGTGGGAGCATGTCAGCCCGTTTCAGTTTCTGACCAAATAGAGAATCCAGAGGATTTCAGTGACAAATTGTGAAACACCTTGACCTGTGAAGATACCACTAACAGACACTTCTTTGTTCTAGGGCTAGAGCCCCTGTTACATCTGTCAGCCCCAAGGAAAGGAGGAGGAATGAAGTCAGTAGGTCTCAGCTCATCTGCTAAGCCAAGACCCAGTGAAGAAGAATTGGACCCAACCTGTGCTGCAGCTACCCTGAGGGTGCTCCGAGATAGGCTCCCCACGTTCTCTCCTCTGTCCAGCAGGTCTCTTTCTAGACTTTGTGTTCCTCCAGAAATGCTGTGCCCATGGGCCTTGCTGCACAGACTGATCCCTAAGGCTACCAAATAATTGAGGTGCCTTTCTGGCACTGTGTTGTTTGGAACTCTAGGCTTTAACGACCAGTCTGGCTTATTCTTTAGTTAAGCCTTCATGAATGGTTCACATTTTATAGGAAGAGAAGATTGGGTGGGGGGGCTGGGAGGGATTGCCCCTCTGTTCAGCTATCTGAAGGGATTTCTTGTGGAAGAGAATAGATTTGTTCTAGAGGGCAGGACTGGGGACAGTGGGAGGATGTTACTGGGATGCAGGAGGTGCAGGTTTTAGCTCAATATAAATAATTATAATAATAAGCAAAGCTATCTAATGCTAGGATAGGCTTAAGCCCAATTCCAGAGGAACAGAGTACCCACACTTTGTGGAATGGAGTAGCCCAAGAGGTAGTGAGTTTCCCAATGCTGGAGGTCTTCAAACAGAGGCTGGATGACTAATTATTGGAGATGTTGTAGAAGAGATTCATCAGTTGGACATGAGATTGAATTAGGTAATTTATATGGACCATTCCAACCTTGAAAGTCTATGAATATATTATTCATATCTTTACAGGGTCACAGGATGATTTTGTAATTGTAAAAATGGCCTCTGGGCCATGGTGGGAGGGGTAGAAGATGGGTGGCTGGAGAAGGAAGGAGGGGGGAAAGAAGGAAGGATGTGAAAGCCATAGCAGACCATCATGGAAAAAGAATATTCTTTTCTATGGTAAAGATTTTCCAGGACTGCTCTGGCTATATTAGGTTTTAAAAGAATAAAGATGGACATTTTATTTTCAAGAGCATTTTGTTATGTTTATTGATGAAAAGTAATAATGGATTTTCACAACTGGCCAAATATTTTCAAAAGGTATATAGAGCGTATTTGCAAAGTAGTCTTTTAAAAATTATGGATTTAAGGAATCATTACTTTCTGAAGTAGATAAACCAATTCTTTTTTCTCCAAGTTGCCTTTTTGAGAGAGCACTACTGAATTTAGAGCCAGACTTATGTGACCTTGGGCAAATCCCTTCTTTCTCTCAGCTTCAGTTTCCTCACCTATAAAATGAGGGGTTGGCAGGACTGAGGTCTTCTCAAGCTCTAAATCCCATGATCTTGGGCTAGCCTTCTTGGGTCAGTGGAAAAAAAAATACAGAGCTGAGTGTTCTTCATGGTTACCGTTCTGCCTGGGGCTCCTCCTGATTAAGATGTGAGGCACGGGCCCTCATTGAACCATACTTGAGTGGAGGTGCCCATCTCCAAGGTGGGCTTGTACTGGATGTTCTATGTCTAATTCAGGAGCTTCTCATCTGAAATTAGGAAGAGTTCCCTGTCTGTTTACCTAAGCAGCCAAAGACAGGAGACATGCCCATGAATAAGATCTCACATTTCTGACTTTCCCTGTAACAAATAGTTTCTGGCACAAATAGGAAGCAGAAGAATTATCATTCCCTATTTTACAGTAGAAAGGACTGTAGTTCACAAAGGGAAATAACTTTAAATAACTTCCTCATGGCCACAAAGTTAGGAAGTGTCAGCTAGGAAGTGGGGCCTTCAGGCTCCACCCAAGTCCATTGCTCTTCCCAGGAAGCTATGTGGCCTCTCTCAGGAGGCCCTTGTTAACTGTCTTTCATCATTGGCTTTTCCTGTGATTTCTAGTGTATCTGGAAGTGCCCCAGCAGCTTCTCTGGGAGAGGCTGACGACAGCAAGGAAAGGAAGCTTGCAGAAGAGCGAGCAAGAGCACCTGTGATGCCATTTGGGATGGACCTTTACTACTGGGGAAAGGAGCAGCCGACTGCCGGGAAGATCCTTAAGTGAGTACCTGTGTCTGTGTGGGCCCCAGAAGAGGAGAAGTGACTCTCTTCCCAGCTGCTGGGATTCTTCTGTGCCATCTAGCTACGGGCCTACCTCACTTCTCCCTTTTGCTTTTTGTTATTGTTGTTGTTTGTTTCTATAGCAGAATTTATGTTTTTATAAAGAAATTTTTATTGATATCTTTTGTTTTGATATCACCAAATGTATCCATCCTCCTTTTTTCCTCTTAGAGAACTGCCCTTTATAAAAAAGAATGGGGGAAAAGCAGTTGAGCAGAACTAACCCATGCATTAAAAAAGCCTGACATTATCTGTTGTGATCCTCTGCCTCTGCAAGAAAGGGAAGGAGGTGCCTTCTCTTATGTCTTCTTTGAGATCAAGCTTGGTCATGATAATTTTACAACATTCAGTTTTGGTTATTTTTGTTATTACTGATCTTTCCATGAGTACTATGACTGTTCTTGTATATGTAGGGCTTCTTTGTCTTTGACTTTGCTCCTTGGGGTCTATGTCTAGTAGTGTTTCTGCTAGCTCAAAGGTATGTACAGCAAAGTGACTTTTTTTGTTTCATTCCAAATTATTTTCGAGATCAGTTGGAACAAGGTACAGCTCCGTGCTCAGTGCATTAGTGTCCCTGTCTTCCCACAGCCCTTCCAACACTGACCATTTTAATCTTTGTCATCTATACAATCTAATGTGTGATATGAAACTGTTGAGATTTTTAAATTTTGATTTATCTTTAGTCTTTATTTTTACTGTTAGTGACCTGGAGCTTTTTTTTCATATTGTAATAGCTTGAATTTCTTCTTTTGAGAACTACCTTTCCATGTTCTTTGACCAATTTTCTATTAGGGAATAGTTCTGTTTCTTACATGTCTGTGACAATTCCCCACATATCATGGACAGTAGACCTTTGCCAAAGATACTTGCTGTGCTATTTTTTCTTAGTTAGCTGCTTTTTTCTAGTCTAGCTGCTTTGATTTTGTTCATATAAACACTTTTCAATATTCTGTATTAAAAATTGTCCATGTTGTCTTCATTGATCACCTCTGTTCCTCATTTAATTAAGAATTCTTTCTCTGTCCATAGGTGCACAAGGTACCTCCTTCTCTTCTCTTCTAATTCTTTTATGATGTGTCCTTTTATATTTAGGCCATGTGTCCATTTGAACCTTATTGTTCAATATATGGTGCAGAATGTTTGTCTAAACCTAATTTCTTCCAAACCGCTTTCCAGTCTTTGAAATAGTTTTTGTCAGAGAGGAAGTCGTTGCTTCGGTAGTCTTCTATGAGTGGTTATGAAACAGGAGGCAATAGTTTGAAAAAATGAAATATATGATTGGAAATGGTAATGTTGACGAGCATGGTATTATGTTGCAAAAGGTACAGGATTTGGAATCAGCCTCCCTGGACTCCCCGGAATCATTGCTTTGCCACTTACTGGCTGTGTGACCTTGGATAGGTCATTGATCCTCAGAGCCCTCATCTTTAGAAGCAGGAGGTTGGACCATCATGATGTCATAGATCATTTCTGGCTCTGATATTCTCTGATCCTATGATTTATACAGCTTTCTAAGTGCCCTGTAATGATGACCATAGTTGGTAGGGGCCCAGGGAACTGCCTGATGACTCACTTCTGTCACCTCCTTTTCCAGATGGAGACCTTGGGTGTCCTTTCTATCCATTTCTCTTTAGGGAACAGCAGTAGCTACAGTACCACCAGTACTTCCCTTTCCTATTATTAGTGCCCAATCAGCCTGATGATACCCTTAAGAGAGCTTAAGAAACAATAATGAGATAATTAACTATGAACATTGTTCAGAGTTAACCATTAAATTGGTTTTAAAACCCTTTTTTCCTTTGCTTTCTTCCTGGAAGGCTATATCATATAGGAGAAAGAACTAGTCTGAGTTTTGCCACTAATTGGCTGTGTGACCTTGGGCAAATGATTTCTTCCCTTGGCTTCAGTCTGCTCATCTACAATCAACAGACTAGGTGATCCCTGAGCCCCTGCTGGTTCTAATGTTCCATGGATAGCCTTCTTCTACCTCCTGGACGTCCTTCCGTGGCTGCTTTTGCTGCCTCTTTTCCTCATGTCTCTGTAGGAGTTGCAGAGTGAGAAAAAGCAGTCTGATTTCTACAGCAAGTTTTTTGCTTCCTGTTTAGTCAGAGACCTGTAGTTGAATCACCTTTTAAGTGTCATTTGTAATATTAGAACTGGAAGATGGTGAGAGGTCACCTGTGACATCCCCCGACCTTCAGGGTGGACTATCCTTGTCTGTCATTTCAGTAGACAATTGACCCTCTTCTTAAAAATCTCCTAAAAGGGACTGACACTCCAGCCTCCCTGGTCCTTCAACTTGGCAGTCTTCGCTGAAATGTGACAATACCAACGTTCCTCAGACTCCCCTTGGAAGGCCTCTCTGTTCTGCTCATCAGTACGCTGGGAGAAGATAAACCTTGTGTTCATAGCTCCCACGTGTGCAGCATTTCTAGTTCACATCACATCGAGCAGACGCCCCATTTGGTCTCCACAGTACCCTGGTGTGGAGGAGGCTGTCAGCTCCCTTATCCCTCGCCTCTCCATTCAGCTCCTCTCACATCTGTCCTCTTCAGTCACATGACCACCAGCTCAGTCACTTCATGTCTGGGCCATTGAAACAGCCGTTTGCTTGGATTCACTGCCTCACATCTCCCAGTCCCATCTGTCCTGCACGTCTTCCTAAAGTGTGGGTCTAACCATGACGATCCCCTGCTCAGGGCATTCTAGTGGCTTCTTGTTACCCTGGGATCAAATATAAGTTGCTCTGTCTGGCATTTCAAGTTCTTCACAACTTGGCCATGGCCTGTCTTTGCAGCATTTTAACCCATTGCTCCCCTTCACAGGCTCCATGAGAGCAGCTGTACTGGCTCACTTGCTGTTTCTCACACGTGGTGCTCATCTCCCATCTCCATGTCTTTGCACTGGCTGTGCTGCATGCCTGGAATGTTCATGACATCTGTCCATTTCTTCTTACCCTCTGCCTCATAGAATCCTGGCTGCTGCTGCTTCTTTTTTTTTTTTTTTTTTTTGGTGAGACAGTTGGGGTTGGCTTGCCCAGAGTCACACAGCTAGTGAGTGTTTATGTGTCTGAGGCCGGATTTGAACTCGGGTCCTCCTGACTCCAGGGCTGGTGCTCTATCCACTGCGCCACTTAGCTGCCCCAAATCCTGGCTTCTTTAAGAGTCAGCCCAAGGCCACCGCCTGCAGGAGACTCGTGCTGGTCTCTGTAGCTGTTGGGCCTTCCATCTCTTCTTGATTATATGTGCACTTGTGTGTATATGTTCTCTTCCATGTTAGAATGCAAGCTCTGTGAAAGCAGGGGCTGTTTTGGCTTTTCCTTGTACCCCCAGTGCCTAGGTAATGCCCAGTCCGCAGTGACCGCTTAATAAGCACTTGTTGATGAGAGTTTACAGATGAAGATACTAAGCTCAGAGAGGTCACATGTGCCCTCATGTCACACAGGAAGTTAGTAACAGATCAAGACTTGAACCCAGTTCTTCAGACTGGCTCAAAGTCTAATTATCTTTCCACTATGGCCCATTGTCCAGGTGCCAGTGTCACTGATGTCTGGTGGGAATGTTGTGTCAACACATTGCCAATTGTAGAAATTTTGAGCCAGGCACATAACCTCACTTCTGTTCTATTTTCATTTTTCTAATAACTGGAGCGATTTCCAAAGTGTTCGCAAGTTCCAAACCAGTGCAGTATTGTCTGATTTTATACTAAGTTATTTAATTTGCTCCATAAATTAGATATAGAGCAAATATACTTCTATTGTGATTAAAGCTAAGGGTTTTTGCTTAGGGCCTAAGGGAAGATGATCTGAGAGAGACTTTGTTGGGATTTTTAAAAAAGTGTGTGTGTGGCCAAAATTTTCTGATCTGACTGTGCCACACGTATATTGCATGTTCTTTCCTGTGAAATTTCTGCCCTGTGTGCATTTCCCAAAGGTCCTTTGGAGGCACCTCTTATTACAAGATAATGAACCTAAGAATTGCTATGCTGTAGCATACACTCTGCTAATGTTAAATAGCTGGAACCAGAAGCTGCCATTTCCAAGTAGCATCAGTGTATGGGCTGGTACTAAACCTTTTTAGTGTTGTTTTAGCATTTGTTTATGGAAAACTATGGGGGAGCTTACATAGGTCACTAGGAAAAGAGCAGAGCAGCCGACCTATCAGGTAGAGAGAGATACACCTCTGTCCCACCATTGTGAGTGTATACAATTCAGTAAACATTTATTAAGTGTCTCCTATGTGCTGAGCACTGAGGAATCAAAAAGTGGCAAAAAGTCCCTGCCCTCAAGGAACTTACAATCGAATGGGTACCTCCCCCAGCCCCACTAATGGCACAGAATAGTGTTCTTTGTCATTTACATCTGTGTAATATGAATGCGTGTGTTACTTTCCTGCCCGGCCATATCTCATGCTACTTTCTTTCAAGTACTTTCTGTTCTAACCAAATCCGATTGCCCTCCATCTCATGTTTCTTAAACTCTTTCCTCACTCATTGTTGGAATGGACTCCCTCCTCCCCCAATTTCTCTCTCAGCACCCTGCCCTTCCCCCAGTGTCCTATCTCTATTTAAGCTCCTCCTTCCTCCTAGTTTCCACTCACACACCATCCCCCAGATGCCCTTCCCCCACCCCTGGTTCCTCGGATCCCTTTGCTTGGAGACCTGATTTTGCAATCGATTTTGCCCCCTCGTTGTCACAGTCACCTGTGCCCATGCCTTCCCCTTGGACTGCAAGGAGAGCCTGTTGGGATGAGAGTTTCTACGTGCCTATAGCAAGGCACAGAACTTCATACACAACTGGCACTTATAAGTGTTTTTTGAATGAATGGTATTTGTATTTTTATGAATATAAATCTGTAGGACAGGATTTTTTTTAGTTAGAAGGAGTACATTGTATATTTCAATATATGTAAATTTATTGTAAGTCAGCTCAATACACAGTT